ATTGTGCTTACGTCAAAACCTTGCTGTTTTCTCTCTCTCCGCTCCACATCTGACCAACGAACACCCTCATCTCACTCCCGTCATCTCACCTCAACTCAATCATGGCCTCTCGGTTCTCATTCCTAGCGGCATCGCTCGCCCTTTTGCTCCTCACTACGGCGAGCAGCGCATTCGCGCGACACCACTCTTCAGGCATCTCGGCCGTTACTAAGCCCGCCGCAGCCTGCGCCGCGTCGACTCTGGCGACATACGCGAAGTGTTGTAGAGGACTCTCCTCTACTTTGCAGGAACTGAGAGTTGTTCTAAACGATAGAGCTCTGTCTTAGCTTTCCAACGAGCCGTCAAACACGTCGATCGCCTAAGTATTCTCCGAGATATAGGCGTTCACGTGCTAGGTGGTGCTCTTGAATGCAAGTAAAGAAGCTCTCTGGAATTTGTGTTCGAATGTACCTTGTACAAAGAACTCTGAGTTTCACTATGATGGCATGCAATACAAAGAAAACAGATTCATAGCATGCAAACAAGATCGAATCGCACAAGTAACCTCGAACCGCTACACTCGCGAATGTTCGAGTAACATCGAAAGGGTGAAATTCGACTCTCGAATTTCACCGATCCGAATTCTCCTTGGGTCTCGAATGTTCCTGGTGCTGCCATGTGGCACCGAATCGAATGGGTCTTCCGAAGTCAATCCTCAACCCCACGCAAACCTGCAACTCACTCGAAGGTGAGCACAAGTCACACATTCGGTGGGTTGGGGGCATACAAACGCCCCACCACCACCTTGCTTCCAACACACGTAATCTCCAACACTCCCCCTTGCACCCAACCCACTAGGTGTGCAAACCAACATGCTCATAGCATGCACGGGATGAATCTTTAGGGGGTGGTTCCATGAGAGATTTCGCGTGTTCATCATCACCCTTGGTTGCGAAGCAAAATGCCGCGCCCTCCTTATCCGTCTCCCCAACGGCTAGCGTAGCGTAGTCGTTGTACTTGGAGGGAGGACGAACCTCACGACGCTCGCGGGTCAAGGCCAATGGTAGGGAGGAAGGTGTGGAGGTAGTTGCCGCCTCGGTTGGTGACACCTCCACGACATCATCAATGCTCTCCTCGTTGTTCGCTCCCCCTCCATCGGCTTCCTTCTCCACTTGAGGTGGAGTCTCACTCTCTTCAACCTCCTCTCGTGGCGGAAGGATGAAGGTGAGTTGTTGAGTGGGTTTCTCCTTCGACGGGAACTTGTCTTCATCGAATACCACGTCCCGAGACGTGACGACGCACTTGTCGCCCAAGTCCCACACTCGCCACGCACACTCGTTCGCCGCAATTCCCAAGTAGATCGCCGCACGAGCCTTCGGTTGCAACTTGTGGCGAAGGGGATCCGGTACATGGTAGTAGCAAAGGCACCCAAAGGTGCGAAGGCGGGATAGGTTCGGCTTCGTTCCGGTCCATGCTTCGAACGGAGTCATTCCCGGGAGCACCTTCGTCGGCAAACGGTTGCGAATCCACGCCGCTAGCGAACTCGCCTCGCCCCACCACTCTTTCCCAAGCTTGGAGTGTTGAAGAAGAGAACGAACGGCTTCCACCAACGTGCGATTAAGCCGCTCCGCCGCTCCATTTTGTTGGGGTGTGTAGGGTGTTGTGACGTCGTGCTTAATGCCCTTGCACTTCATCCATTTCTCGAGCTCCGCATTCACGAATTCGCCACCACCATCGGTGCGAATACACTTGATCCGCTTCTTGTCATCGTCGCAAACTTCGAGCGCCCAATCTTGAATCGCCTTGGCCGCATCGCCTTTTGCCTTCAAGAGCCGGGTCCAACACATCCGCGTCACGTCGTCGAGCATCACCAAGAGGAACCGCGCTCCTCCCTTTGATGCATGCCGCATCGGTCCACACACGTCCATGTGAACAAGCGCAAGCGGGTCCTTAGCGAGGGGTGACGTTCGGCTACCGAATGGCTTGCGAGCCATTTTTCCTTCGACACACGCCGCGCACACGCCCTTCTCGTCGTCGCCGGCGATCACGTCGACTCCCTTCGCAAGTCCTTTGTTGGCCAACTCCTTGACCGAGTCGTAGTTGGCGTGCGCAAGCCGATTATGCCACGCCTTGAGAGTGGCCTTGGACCCTTGCGCCACGTTGGATGAAGCCGCTCTCGGGTGCGTCTTGAGTTGGTAGAGTTCTCCTTTGAGAACGCCTTGTGCGAATTGCTTCCCCTTCCAAAAGAGGTTCATCGTCGCACCATCGATGGTGACCTTCACGTCTTTCTTCGCGAGTTGAGTTACGGAGAGTAGATTCACCTTCAACCCCGGGACGTGAAGCACGTTCGTGATGTCCACCGGTCCGCCATCGACGATGAGACGCGTACTCCCAACTCCGACCACCGGTAGCGACTTGTTGTTTCCGAAGACGACGCGCGTGACGTCTCCCGGTGCACCAACGTTGGTGAGGAACGATGCCGAGTGCGTCATGTGTTGTGTTGCGCCGGTGTCGAGGAACCACGCGTCGCTTGGTGTGTTGTTCCCGTCACCGGCCAATAACACGATCGACTCCCTCGTATCATCCGCCTCGCCGGATGCCGTGTGCGCGTTGCCCTCTTGGTCCCGCGCCATCGATGGAGTCCAATCGCTCGGCCGCTTTCGACACTCACGCCAAAAGTGTCCCGGTTTGCGGCAATAGTGACACTTGCCGCGATGCTCGCTCCCACCGGACGATTCCTTCGTTGCGTCCTTGCTCCACTTGGACTTCTTTCCGGAACTCCCTCCGGAGTACATGGCGGCACCCTCGCTCTCATTAGCGAATTGTCGGCGACGCGATTCTTCATGGAGAAGCCGACCAACCACCATTTCCTTCGTCCAAGTGTCTTGCACGCTATCGAGTGTCGTAATCACCGTCGACCACTCTTCCGGAAGGCCGCAAAGCAAGGTGAGAATCCAATCCTCCTCCGTGACCGTTCCACCGAGGTCCATGAACGTTTCCCCGAGTTCCTCCACACGAGTCGCAAACTCGTGCATCGATTCGCCCGCGCGCATCTTCACCGTGTAGAACGCATTCCGGGCTAGGATCTTGCCGTGGAGAGTCTTGTTCACGTGGATGGTCTCGAGCCGCTTCCACGCTTCATGCGCCGACGCTTCGAGCTTGATGCACATGCGCACCGAGCTCACGAGATTGATGCCGATGCGCGAAATCAACGTAGCGAACGCCTTTTGGTCCTTCTTCTTCCATGCCGCGATGCCGCTCTCATCGTCCGGCTTCTTCTCCGTTCCATCGAAGAAACCCCAAAGTCCCCGCTCCATCATGAGCACTTGGAACTTAAACTTCCACGCGGAGTAGTTTTGTCCCGTGAAAACCGGTACCGCCGACGTGTCGAACATCGTCGCGGTTGCCCAGGGTTCGCCGGAATTTACAACGACACCATCCAAGGAAGTGCGGGAGGCCTCGCATGAAGTCATCATGCGTGCTCCTTGTCGCGCGCGTAGACTCCTCCGACCAGCTCTGATACCACTGTTGTATAGGACTCTCCTCTACTTTGCAGGAACTGGGAGTTGTTCTAAACGATAGAGCTCTGTCTTAGCTTTCCAACGAGCCGTCAAACACGTCGATCGCCTAAGTATTCTCCGAGATATAGGCGTTCACGTGCTAGGTGGTGCTCTTGAATGCAAGTAAAGAAGCTCTCTGGAATTTGTGTTCGAATGTACCTTGTACAAAGAACTCTGAGTTTCACTATGATGGCATGCAATACAAAGAAAACAGATTTATAGCATGCAAACAAGATCGAATCGCACAAGTAACCTCGAACCGCTACACTCGCGAATGTTCGAGTAACATCTAAAGGGTGAAATTCGACTCTCGAATTTCACCGATCCGAATTCTCCTTGGGTCTAGAATGTTCCTGGTGCTGCCATGTGGCACCGAATCGAATGGGTCTTCCGAAGTCAATCCTCAACCCCACTCAAACCTGCAACTCACTCGAAGGTGAGCACAAGTCACACATTCGGTGGGTTGGGGGAATACAAACGCCCCACCACCACCTTGCTTCCAACACACGTGATCTCCAACATCCTTACCTGCTGAATCCGCACCGGCTGTTTCCTTTCCTGCTGAATCCGCGCCGGCTGTTTCCTTACCTGCTGAATCCCCACCGGCTGTATCCTTACCTGCTGAATCCGCACCGGCTGTTTCCTTACCTGCTGAGTCCCCACCGGCTGTCTCCTTACCTGCTGAATCCCCACAAGTTGACAAGCCCCCACCTGATGGCAATCGCCCTCTCGTCGCTTTTGATCGCGCTTTCGCCGCTTTGGTCTCGTTCCAGCGAAAAGGTCGCGTTCCGTTCGCCAATGTCGCAACATTCAATTTCGACCCCTCCGTTACAAGCAGCGCCTTCGCCGCCACGCGCTTCAAGCTTCTCTCGCTGCCCGTTCCGCTTGTGCCCGAGAAGCTGACGTGGCGCGACGCGTTCCCTACATGGGTGAACGAATCGCGAGCATCCTGCTCGAAATTTCCTGAACCGAGCTATCCAGATTGGCTGACCAGCATCCACGCAATTGTCGCACACGTGCCCTGCGACGAGCCTAGCGATTCCTGGGCGAAGGATGTTTGCTGGCTACACCACCTTCTCACTATAACAAGCTTCGTCATAAGGGTACTGTTTACCATTCCTTCATGTCATCCTGTGCCGCTACTCCTCGTGTCATCCAGTCCCCCTTATTTCAAATAAGGGTTGGCTGAAGATCAGCCAACTCTTTTCTCGGTTCCATTGTTCCAGGTTCGCCACCTGTGGTTACCAGTGGTGTTGCTCTCTGCCTTATTTCGCACAATCCCCTTGTACTATCTCTCTTGTAACAGGCGAATCGCACGTGGTTACCAGTGGTGTTACTCTCCGCGTGCCGCCCGCCGCCCAACCTCTTCCACTGCTCGCGACTCGCGACGCGGAAGGGTGACACGTGGCTGTACAACCTGACGGCCAGTGACATGCTGACACGTTTACAGCCCCTGGGATCATGCTCCATGGCTCAGCCTATCAACAGCGAGGTGTCAGGTAATGCAGGTCATAGGAAGTGTCGTCAATCCGAAAAATGAAGACAGATTTCAGAGAAAGTTCATGTCTTTTTTTTTTCTTTTTCTTTTTCTTTTTTCTTTCTCGTTTACTTTACTTGACTTTCACCCGCCCTATTCATCCTTCTTCTAACGCCCCTCCTTCCTCGACCTTCTTTCTCTCCCTCCCCTCAGCCAACCGGCGCGTCGCTTATGCTACAGTGTTACACTCGTCGGATCAATATGTGTGCGGTGCGATAGTACTGGGGCACAGCATAAGGAGGACGGGGAGCAAGCACGAGATGGTTGTGCTTGTATCGAAGGAGATTCAAGAGGAGAGCAGGCGAGGCCTGAGGGAGGCGGGGTGGACGGTGAAGGAGATTAAGAGGATTCGAAACCCCCACGCACGCAAAGGGACTTATAACGAGTATAATTACAGGTTTGTTTTCTTATAACGAGTGGAAGTATAAGTTGTGTGTTTGTAGCGAGTGGAACTACAGGTCTGTGTGCTCACACCGAACTACAGGTTTGTGTGCTTATAGCGATTGGAGCTAGAGGTATGTGTGCTTATAGCAAGTGGAGGTAGAGTGCGTGTTGATTGGCAAAAAGCTGTGGTAAACTGTCTTTGAAACATTTGTCTTGGTGTATCCTATCCACCTGTTTGATTTAGGACTACTTTGATTAGCTTAATTATTTGCACCTGTCTTTCTGTAAATGTTCTTGTTGTGTGCCAGGTGCAAAATGTAATATATTGGCTAATACCACTACTGCTGCTGTTTTCATTTTGTTTTTTATCTCATGACACGCGTTGACTCGTTTTGACTTGTTGACTCGTCTTAACTCCCCCCCCCCCCCTTCGCCCAGCAAGCTGCGGCTGTGGCAGCAGTAGGAGTATGCCAAGTTGCTCTTCATTGACCTGCTCTTGACCAGCGTTGACTTCATTAACCTCTCCGTTGACCTCACTCTCCCAGCTCCTCCCCATCCCCACATCCCTCCGTTTTCCCACCAGCAAGCTGCGGATGTGGCAGCAGACGGAGTACGCCAAGCTGCTCTTCTCCTCGTGTCTTGACCACCGTTGACTTCATTGACCCCTCTCCTCAATCCCACCCCCCCTTTCCCCCATCAACCCACCCAGCAAGCTGCGGCTGTGGCAGCAGGCGGAGTACGCCAAGCTGGTCTTCATTGACTCGGACCTGCTCCTCTTGACCAGCGTTGACTTTCTCTTCTCCTACCCCGAGATCTCTGCTCGCGGAAATGCCGGCACAGATTTCAACTCGGGCGTGATGGTCCTGGAGCCGTCGGATTGCACGTTTGACCTGCTGATTATAAATCTGAAGCGAGTGCGATCAGCCAACGGAGGGGACCAGGTGAGACCAAGATGTGAGGTGACTCCCAAACCCCCTCTTGTAGGTGAGATCATTTCTGCAGTCAGAACTGTGAATGTTTTTATTCATTCTAAGACTGGTGCTGGTTCCCTTTGTCCTTGGTTCCAATGGTGTTATTTTCCACCAATTTCCCTCATGCTCCCCCCTGTCCAGGGATTCTTGAACAACGTCTTCACTTGGTGGCACCGCTTACCAGACTCCATCAACACTCTCAAGCCCGTCTGGGGCTCTGACCCTGTGAAGAAACAAGCTATCATCGACATGAAAAGCAAGTGGTTCTCGGAAGACCCCTCGGAAATCCAAGCAATACACTACCTCGGTATGAAGCCGTGGTGGTGTTACCGTGAATTTGATTGCAACGTGCTGGTACCCTATTTCGTCGACTTCGTTAATGAGGCGGCTCATAAGAGGTGGTGGAGCGTACACGACTCACTGCCAGAGCCACTAAAGAAATATTGCTTGATAACAAGTGAAGCAGAGGAGAAGCTGAAGAAGCTGATAAAAGAATCAAAGCCAAAAACATTGCCGTAATTAATGAATGTCGTAGGATAAGATGACGAGTGGGCATAGTTATGTACATGTATCCTTGTGCTATATAGTTCATGTAGTTTCCCATCTATACAAAAGCACGTTGCTTTTGCAAGGTTGTCCAAGCAAGCTACGTATCTGTTACGAGTGCAATTGAGTGAGCGAGCGGAAATTGCACTATCGAACACACAATACAACAAGCTAAGGCATGAGCGAATTGTTAAATAGGCGAAGTGTTTCAGCAACGGCAACGCGCTCGCGAAGGGATGCCTTGTCGGGCCTGATGTCGAGGGGGAAATGTAGAAGGGTAGGGCAGGGTCGCGAATTACCCGCCGAGCTGGGTGGCTTGGGCGCGATGGTCGTGTTGGCGGGAACAGTGCCGAGGCGAGTGTCACGAGGTGGTGTCGGGCTACTGTTGGGTGTACAATGGTGGGAACAGTCGTGCACGCGGTATGCCGTGTGACGCGAAGTAAGGAAATTTCGTTTCCTTACACTATCGCAAATTTATTTAAGAGGTGTTACACCTTAAAGCCCGAGTACAGTATGGTTTTTTTCAAGTTCAAGATTCTTGAACTTGAACTCGCCAAAAATAGGGTAACCCTACTTGGTTTGACAGAACTCTCGCGATCCTGGGACAACCTCTTGCGGCACTCTCTCCTGATTGGTTTTTGTGCCCGATCGCAAAACTGAACTGCTCGTCGCTCACCAGTGACACTGTTCACCTCTCACATAACTTGAGAACCAAGTCGTACTCATAGTCTACTAGATTCCTCACGTATCTAGGAACCGCGGGCGAGTTTAAATTAAGGCGTTTTTCCTTACAACGCTAGCCACTCATGCTGTCTTGCTAATAGCTAGCCAGCTCAAGCCTCATGCCAAACACTCTATTATCGCACCATTTTCGCATTACTCACACGGACCGTCCGTTCTTCCGCACGACGCACAAAGGTCGGCAATTCTTAGATTCCCTCCCTGCCCGTGGCGCCACCCGGTTAGCCAGCATAGCATGGTATGTCCAACGTATACCCTCGACAGATCCGCATTTCCCGCTACGCCCTCGCTTCGTTTCGGCATCTACACATTCCTAGGTCACGAGTGCATCACCACGTCGCCCACACGTCCCCTCGTCGACCTCCAAAACCACTCGTCACAGTCTCAACCACTCGTCACACATGCTCGTGTCACACTAGCACGAGTCACACTCGCCCGTGTTACACTCACAATCACGCGTCACACTCGCGATTTCCCTACCCGTCGCCTGGCTGACGCTACTCGTCAAAGGGCGCCCGTTCGCAGCGCGTCGCGTCGCTCGTAAGGTCCGGTCGACCTCGCAATCCCCTGCTCCCAGTTCGCGCTTGCCCCAACGCCCTTGCATTCACCGTCGCCCTCACTTTCCCCGTCGCCCTCACTTTCACCGTCGCCCTCACTTTCCCCGTCGCCCTCACTTTCACCGTCGCCCTCACTTTCCCCGTCGCCCTCACTTTCCCCGTCGCCCTCACTTTCCCCGTTGCCCTCACTTTCCCCGTCGACCTCACTTTCCCCGTCGCCCTCACTTTCCCCGTCGCCCTCACTTTCCCCGTCGCCCTCACTTTCCCCGTCGCCCTCACTTTCCCCGTCGCCCTCACTTTCCCCGTCGACCTCACTTTCCCCGTCGCCCTCACTTTCCCCGTCTCCCTCACTTTCCTGGGTTATTACAAGCAACACATCCTAAACCCCTAAACCCATCCTGAAATGACACGGGTTATTACAAGCAACACATTATCCCAGCTTTACATCTACCCATGTCAGAATCTTTGCATGTTCTTCTTCTGCTGCTGCTTTCGCTAAAGCAACCCGCTCCTTCTCATAACGCTTCAATGGCCTTGTGCCATTACCACCTCCTTTGCTGGTCGACGCTTCTTGATACCACACCTCGCCACAAGGAAACGAGCTCCGACCATACCATGCCAAGGTCCAGTAGGGAGACAGCCAAGATCTCAGCAATCTTCTCGTCGCAAAGGTTGCCACCAAGCCAGCTCTTGATTGCATTCGGTTGTGAGAAACCACGTTCAGACGTTGACATCTGAAGAACAGCGCCTGCGATCCAAATGTGTAGGTGCACCAAATCCGGGTGCATTAAATGAAGGCTTTTGTTTCAGTCCTTCTTGGGATTCGAGGTTATCGTGGTGAGTTGAGAGGATTGTGGTGAAGCTGGTGATGTCGCACTGTGCCTTGGACCAGTTGATACTGTCAAATTATATTTCATTTGTGTGCGTTAGCTTCTATAGGCTAGACAGGGTTAGGATATAGTGGGTATAACACTCGTACTTGTTTCATGTACCCAACCCTCTAGTAAACTTTCTCTCGGCGTGGTATCTCTCGCTAGGTTAGATAGCTTCCGCTCCACTCTTAATCTCCAAAGTCATAGCTCATCCTAGCTAAGGATTCGACCTTGCCCTACAGCCACGTTCTCTAGTACTGACCGTACTGCTCGTACTGCCTATGGTGCCCAAACTGCCCGTGCTACCCGTACTGCCCGAGCTACCCGTTGTGCCTGGTTTTTTTTTTTTTTTTTTTTTTTTTTTTTTTTAGTGTATGAACATGTCCACTGGTGATACAAGTGTATATTAACATATGCCAATCGTAACTGAGCATGAGAGGCTGAAAGACAGTAACGGCCCCAAGGGCAGCTTCACGGGCGGATGCAAAGCCCCCCTCGCCAGATTCCAAAGCACGCCGAAGTTATGGGTCCACTTCCGACCCTTCACCGCCAGGCACCGAATACGTCCAAGTAATCGGTCCTCTTGCTCAGCCAGCGCATAGGCCTTCGCATGTCGCTTCAAACCACCTCCCTTGTCCAGATTTTTCCCCATTGCTCGAATGTACACCTTCACATGCAGCCGAAAGGCCGCTTCAATACGCCTGAGGATGCGCCGAGCCCGGAACCTCCTCCCCCGAAACACGCTCTCGCATCTCTCTACCCAGATCTAGTGCACCGCGGTGGCAGCAAGAGATGCTTCTAGAAATGCTGAGGTGGACGCTGCCTTCCCAAACAGCAAACTACCCAGGTCAGCCACTTGCCTCGACGGGTTCAGCATGCGGATGGCACGCCTGACTGCCACCACCACAAGTTGAATGCGCGAGCAGGTGAAAAGACAATGCTCCAAAGTTTCAAACTCCCCGCAGTACAGACAAACTACCTTGCTGCTCAGGAAAGAAAGCCTTTCCCCCACCTGTAGGTTAAGACTGTGGATCCTCAGCAACACGTCACGCGGTCTATTCGGCGTCACGAGAGAGTCCTGAATTTTTTTCACACTCTTCCAGTCAATTGACCCCGCCCATCTGCCCGCCCAATGTCCCCTCTACTGCCCGTACTGCCCGTACTTCCCGAGCTACCCGTAACCCGAGCTGCCCCTACTGCCCAAGCTGCCCGTACTGCCCAAGCTACCCGTACAGCCCGAGCCACCCATACTGACCCAGCCGCCCTAGCCGTAATAGCTAGCCAAGCCGTCGTTCCTAGGGTCGTTCATCCTGCCGCGCGCCCGCATGTAGCTGTGCCGCTGCTCGTTATGGCGTCCTCTTCGTTTCCCCAGTTCATGCTGCGCTTTGATGCGGAGGGCCGGGCGCTAGTTTTCGACGTATGGCTGAGCAACGTCGAGCTTTACTTGCAGACCCAACGCCATGATGGAATGTACCTCTACGCCCACGTGTCTGGTGGGCCGTTTGCCCCTCCGAGCCCTCTTACTCTCACGGCTACCACCACATATGCTGAAAGCCAGACCACGCCACGGCTCGGGATAGGTACGGAATCCGGGTGTCAAGCGACACAACTGTAAATGTCACCCTTAGTAGCTTCCTTCCCCCTACTAAGCGAGCTCATTTTTTCCAGGTCAGGACGGAAAAGGAGTACTTCGACGCCATCACTGCTCGTTACTCCACTCCTTCGCCTACTACTCTAGGCCGCCTCATCATGCCGTTTCTCTTTCATGACCTGCGTAATTTCCCCACTGTCGCTAATCTGATGGCTCACCTTCGCACTCTTGACGCACGCCGGTGCATCACTTGCACTGTTTAGCAGCTCTCCACGTGCCCCCGCGTCACCCGCCTCCCTGACCACTTTTCTATTACACACGACACTCTCATCGCCCTACACCCTAGTGAGCTGATTCTCTTTTTTTTTAGACTATTTTCACTAAGATCGAGAGCCGCCTGCACACCATCGCTGTGCCCATAGGTGACCTGGGACTTCCTATCTTCGAGAAGTGTGCCCCTCCCCAGCTCCCTGTCTGTGCTGCATCCGCTTCGGTTGTGGAGCCCGCTCCTCCTCTGGAAGTTACAACTACTGCTGCTGCCTCGGGCGGGCGCATCAGGCGCAGGGGGGGTCGTGCTCGTGGCAGTGGTGGAGGTGCTGGTGCGACTGGGGGAGCTGACACTGGAGGTGGTTGAGGTTAGGGTGGTACATCTGGAGGAGGTGCTAGCTCTTGGGGTGTGGCGGTACCACAGCAGCATCTGCCGTAGTAGTTATAATCCATGCAGCAGTGGGTCTCTCAGCAACGGCTGGGCCCTGAGGGTTCTGGGAGCGGTGGCCACAGTGGCGGCTCTGATGGTTGGGCGTCACGTCGGTGCGTCACTTGATCGTGCCATAACCGTCTTCAGACTGTCCTTGGCACTGACCCCATCTGCGGACGTCAGATCACTCGGCGGCACGCTGCTTTCGTCGCCTCGATGATCTCTACCACCTATTTTTTTGCCTTCAGGCTGCTCTCCCGAATTGGTACTCTCTTATGGAGCGTGTTGTGCCCATCTTTACAATGGATATTGTGGATGTTCCTACTGCTTCGTATGAATGTGTCTCTAGTGTTGTTGGACCCTATTATTCTTGTGCATCTAGTCTAGGATCAGTAGCTGATGCATGTGTAGGATCCTCTACTATTGCTAGCACATGTGTGACCATTGCTGACGCATCGCTCTCATTCACGCTCGACTCCAGCGCCTCTCGGTGTTTCTTCCGCGACCATACGTGAGTCGGTCCGTTTCGTGCATCTGTCAAAGTTGCACTGTCCGACCCCTCCTTGGGCCCGGTCGTTGTGCACAGTTCCACTACACTCCCGTGCCCTGGAGTCCCCTCTGGCTCCCTGATGAGTCTGCATATCCCCTTGTTCTCTAGGAACTTGGTTGGTGTGGGTCATCTTTGGGACCTGGGTGTCACCACCACGTTTCCTAACATGAGCGGTTTGCGACTTATACGGACTCTACCACTGGGGCTCCGCTTACCACGTTCACGCGTGAGCCTAGATCTAGTCTTCCTTTTCCTTTTCCTTTGACTGATTGTCCTCCCACTGCCTTACTGCCTCTTCGAGACGTGTCTCTAGCCCGTTATCCTCCTTGTTCTCTGTCTCCTCTTCTCCCTGGCCCACCTCGTCCCTCTCCCTCTTGGACTACTCGTCATTCCCCTCGTGCTCGTCCCTCATCCCCTGTTCCTAGCTTTCACTCTATGAGCCTTCGTTCTTCTCCTCCTCGTGTGTCTCCTCCTCCACCCCCCTCCCCTCCTCCAGTCGTCTCTCACTGTCTTCCCTCCTCCGTTCTCTGTCTTCATTCGTACCGCTCGTCCTACAATCTCTCGTGCCCTTTCCTCCCTTGTCACTCACCCTACTGCTCCTCCTTTGTCTGACTCTGCTCTTGTCGCTGCTGTCACTGGCTTTGCCTCCAGTAATTGCCTTGACTATGCCGCTCATTTAGTCTCTGACACTGCCCATCCTCTGTCCGTTGGAGGTGAGTTTGCCCTTGGCTATGACGTCCTAGAGGGCAGACAGTTTAAGCTCGCCTTCCTTGCGGCTGCTGCTCCTCATCTATGTGCCATGCTGCTAGCTCCTGAGGGTGACCCTGGCGCCTTCGACATCTCGACTCCTCGCACTTACACTGAGGCAGTCTCGGGACAGTCGACCTCTAAGTGGATAGCAGCCATGGACGCAGAAATGGCATCTTGGAGGTCCACAGCAATAACGTCGATGCAATTCCTGCTCCTGGGGCGAACGTAGTTTACAGCATGTGGATCTTCAAGTTGAAGCGGCCACATGGATTGCTGCCTGTCTTCAAGGCGCGTTATGTGGCGAGATGCTTCAGTCAGCGAGAGGGGGTAGACTTCTTTCATACCTTCTCCCCCACCCCGAAGATGACCACTCTTCACGTACTACTATACGTAGCATCAAAGCGTGACTACGAGCTCCACTCACTTGATGTGAGAGTTCACCGTCTGTTATACAGGTATTTGCCTGATTTCTATCTTCTTTTGCATTACTTTTCTATTTTTATTGCTTTATTTTACATAGTTATAGCACCAATAAGGACAGTCTGCATTGTTTCTAGATAGGTCTCGGTTGTTCCCGCGGGATCTAGCATGCGCGTGATCATAATCGAATGATTCTACCGAATTTGGGAAGGTTCCGTTCCAGACAGTTCCTAATGCTCGAAACATTCATGTAACATCCTGGTTACCTGCCTTGTGACACGACTATATATAGCCTTGTGATGTACCCATGATTAATTATTTAAGATCATGAAATGAGTTATCGATCCTCAAAATCGACTTCTCCACCGCCTTTTTACAGGTTAGCTTGCACGAGCAGATCTAACTTTGCCATCCACCTGGCTTCACTGGGTCGTTCCCTCCTGGCACCCAGTGGAGTTTTTTACGGCCAGTCGTTGGTCTACGACAAGCTCCTCGTGAGTGGCACGACAAG